TTTAAGCCATAGTCAATGCATGATCAATGTCTTGTGGGTCTGATGGGGTTGTTCGAGTGAGGGTTCGTTGATCTATACAGGGAGTTATGATGTAAGGGAAAAGTGGGCAGAATCCTCGTTACGGACGTGGTGTCGACACTTTGTTAAGGTGTCGACACCTTGTAGCACTTTTTACATTGTCGTGGGTTTGGAGCACCCCTTGTATTCCGTTTTCTTTTTTATATTAATAAATATCTTTTTGCTGTTCAAAAAAAAAAAAAAAAAACTTATGTGTCAAATTGAAGGAGCTCAAGATAATTTTCATTTGAGCTTGTTGATAGAATTTGAGGTTGACACGGCTAGTTTTTATTCCTACTTGCCTGCAAGGCAACTGATGACTTTGGAAGTCAGTCAATTTGGATTATTGCAAGCAGGGACCATTTAAGGCCTAGTTTGCCACACTCTTTCCCGAAAGAATATTTTCTGTCATCGCGTCGAATGAGTGTAAATCCGGCTAAAACAATCAACGTGTACTTTGGTCTGTGGATTCTACTAAACTTTTGAAACTTTCCCAGAAGATAGATTGCAATCGAAGTGGATGCAAACAAAACTTAAACTCTGTTTAATATAGTTTAATATAGTTTTGGTTGTTTGGTTTTTTGTTTTTATTTATTATATACACAATAATTCATATTAAATTTAGAATAAATTAAATAAATTATATTTTTTTTAAAAATTAATTTCTAAATATAATATTACCTACTAATTATAAATAAAAATAAAAAGCCCAAAACTACTTACCTATAATGGATATGTTAAGTGAAAAAATTTTATATCGAGTATACAATTTAAATATAGTAAAAATTATTTTATTTTTTATTAATTAATTTTAAATTAAATATAAAATTTATATTCCACTCTAGGCATCAAATTTTACGAAGGATTACAAGAAGAAAAAGTCCTACCCCATCTATTCTTGGTTCCCCTATTGGCTAACACCTAGTCCTACAATGTTTTTGCTGGCACATGTATTCCGCGCAACATTAATTGAATTAGTTGAAGGGCTTCTTTTCCTTGAATTATTTCTTGGTTCGACGGGCCTTGATTTTCCCTTTCTTTACTCTTCCTTTTCTCGCTAAACACGCTAGAATTAAAAACAATTAATGCCTCTCATCATTCTATTTAGTTGAATTTTCTTTTCGCGTATGTTAAGGTGTCTCTAGGAATATATGTACATATGGGGTCATGCTCGATTATTATTATTTTTTTAATAGTAATGAGTGAATATCATAGGCCAATCTCCATAAAAAAAAAGAAGAATATATATATATCATAGATTAATCATATTAAAGTTTATTTCTTTGATCTAGTCAAAGTTTGGTCATTTATTATAATAATAAATTTTTTTCATTTTTAATTTATTCACGGCATGTTATAGACTTTTTATTTATTATTAGTAAGTTATTTACATTGTTAATAAAATTTTTTCATCATTTGTCTCTTAAAAAATGGGAATTCTCATCATAGGATGTGGAGAGAATTCATTACCAACTAGGTTTCCAGTCCCTCAAAATGTGCAGGAAATTGTGTAGTTATTTTCTTGATGTAGTGGATATCAAATTCAAACCACCCAAGCGTGAAAAGACAGAACAATAAGGCCAGGAGTACACCATGCGGCCCACTGGTTGAGTGTGCTTTTCAATGAGAAAGGGTGATGCTCACCCTCATTTGGAGATTCAACCTATTAATCATTATTTTTGTCAAAAAAAAAAAAGAAAAAAGGCCCGGAGTACTAACCTCCTAGACAGACTATTTCGCCATCAATTCCAACAGGGCATTAAGGTCTGAACAGAAGATAAGCTTGACTTTGTTTACCCTCGTTTTCAATCGGTTCACGGACACAATACAGATAAAGACACGTCTATATTTCATAAGTTCAATAAAAACTACATCTAGCAATTCGCAGATCGATCATATTTGCCCTTGATGCTCTACCCTAGCCTCACCCAAATGGGTTTGCAAAATCTTTCAGCGACTCTCCGTTTCTTTGGATTTGCATTGGTTACTATATTTCTTCTTTGTACGGTGGCGGCGGAACCAGTTACCTACGTCGTCGATCGAGGCTTACCCTCTAATTCCCCTGTTCAGTATGTTGTCGCCCAAGGGTCACCCTCAAAGTCCGCTGTTCTGTATGTTGATGCCCCAGGCTCACCCTCAAATTCCGCTGTTCCGTCTGTTATCGCCCAAGGCCAGCCCCCCAGTCCTAACGGTGTTCGGACTGTTCTCCCCCGAGGCCTTCCCCCCAGTTCTAACGGTGTTCCGTATGTTCTCCCCCGAGACTATCCCCCCAGTTCTAACGCTGTACCGCCTGTCTCAAACCTATCCTCCAAAGACCCACTGAAACCCTCTCTTTCCCCTGTACCAACTGCTGCAATCACTCCAGAAGGAAGAAAGAACCAGATAGGATTACTAGTGGGGATAGTTATTGTAGCATGTGCTCTAATTTTTGCCATAGGTTTAACTTCGTTTATTTTTTGGAGAAAGAGGACAAGAGATGAACCAGTTGTCTTTGATGTGTCCTTCAGTGATGAATTTGGGAATGGCATGGGACCTAGAAAGTTCTCTTATGATGAATTGGCTAAAGCAACAAAGAATTTTGCAGATGAGGAGAAGCTTGGCGAGGGAGGGTTTGGAGCAGTTTACAAAGGTTTTTTGAGGGATTCCGGTACAGATGTAGCTGTTAAGAGGGTATCAAGGGGATCACAACAAGGAATCAAGGAGTATGAATCAGAAGTGAAGATTATTAGTCGATTGAGGCATAAGAATTTAGTGAAGCTTATTGGTTGGTGCCATGAAAAGGAACTTTTACTAGCTTATGAGTTCATGCCCAATGGCAGCTTGGATTCCCATATCTTCAAGGGAAGAAGCTTGTTACAGTGGAACCTTCGCTACAAAATTGTGCAAGGCTTGGCATCAGCTCTCTTGTACCTTCATGAAGAAGGAGATTTTTGTGTGCTACATAGGGATATTAAAGCAAGCAATATTATGTTAGATGTTGCTTTCAATGCTAAGCTTGGTGATTTCGGTTTAGCTAGGTTAGCTGACCATGAAAAAGGATCACGAACAACTTCGTGGGCTGGAACCATGGGTTACATGGCTCCTGAGTGTCAGAGAACAGGCAAGGCAAGTAAGGAATCGGATATCTACAGCTTTGGAGTTGTAGCACTCGAAATTGCATGTGGAAGAAGATCCATAGAACCTAGATATGAGGAGGATCGGGCCTCACTGGTGGCTTGGGTGTGGCAAGCTTATGGGAACCAAAGACTAATTGATGTGGTAGACGATCAACTTTCTGAAGCTTTTGATGTAAAAGAGATGGAATGTTTGTTGATTACTGGCTTATGGTGTATACATCCTGTTCCTAGTCTGAGACCATCAATCAAGCAAGCAATACAAGTGCTTAATTTTGAGGCGACACTACCAAATCTTCCAAGAGAGATGCCTATTCCCAAGTATGATATTGCTAATACCCCAATCATCATAACAAGTGAACCATGTTTATCCGACATAAGCATTACTGTTCCTCGCTAATTTTCATACTATGCCTGGAACAAAATTGATTTGCTAATAAACTAGAGTATTATAGTTTGGAATTAAATATATTCTATCTTCTCACTTTGATTTTCGTATGATAAGCTAGTGCATTTCCAATGCCTAATTGTCCTTCATTACCAGTTCTTTTCTTATAGAGGAGTTGTTTATGCTCATGTATCACATTATTCTATGAGGTTGAAAATCATTCTTCAGTCATTTGTTTGGCTCAACCCAAACAGGGGACTCTGTCTCTCTTAATAAAGTTGGTGTTCTTTATGCTGAGCAGAAAAAAAAAGAAAAAAAAAGGAAGAAACTGGGAACTCTATTACTTGTAATATCCATCCAAGCTGGTGATATGTTGCCCTTTTTTCATGTCAAATTTACTTAAACATTATCCGTATTAATTAGGGAAAACCTCAATGCTACAACCAAAATATTTTTGAGTATAATGTTTTGTTTAATATAACTTGATATTAATGAGTGGATGCATATCAATTCACACTTTTTTTGTTCGTCATGCCAATTCATACTTTGTTCCCAAACAAAATGAGATAATCATAAAGTATTTTACAAATTATGGTAGAAAAACATTATGTCTATCTTTTCCTAGGAAAATAGGCAAAATTTTTCCTGGAGGCAGTGGCTGAGCAACGTTGAGGCCAGGGAGCAGTACCCTGCTTTGGAGAAATTTACATAAAAGTAATTTTGGTCTCCACAACCACAACTCCATCTCCTTCCAATGCAAACGAACGATGGAGTTTGTTATTAACTATATATTATCAAACTATTTCATTTTGTAATTAAATGTAAACTGATGTAAGTACAATAGTCATGGCTTGTACCTACTGCGCCTGGTCAAGGGCTGTGACCTATTAAAGTTTGCAGTCTCTTTCTTTTTTTTTTTTTTTTTTTAAGTTACATAATAAAATACAATTTTCTTCAATCTTATTAATTAGGCTTGATTTCTCATTTCCTTACCCTTGATTTCCCTAAACATAAGCTAGATTTATGATCAAGGCTTCTCATCCATTCTGTTCAGTTGAATTTCCTTTTTGCGTATGCTAAGGGGAGTCAAGGGAAATAACTGTATATGGGGTCATCCTTGAATTATCGTTTTTATGATTTTCTTAATGTAATGGGGTATCAAACCTTCAATTAACACCCCACACCCCACGAAACCGTTAGGTGTTGAATTTTATGAACCTAAAGTCTATGTCTTTCTCCTAATTAATAAGACTATTCCAGCAGTGTCCATTTTTGGTCTGCCGAAGACGACCTTGACTCTTGTTTATCTTCGCTTTCAACCATTTCATGCCAAAAAACCGTGTTGATACAGTAAGAGCTATCATTCAAAAAACTGAGCTAATATTAATTAGCAGTTTGCAACTGGATGGTATTTTTATTTTACCCTTTCTTTTCTCTCTTAATATAAGCTAGAATTACAAACGAAGGCTAAAGAAGGGAAAAAGGCAATCCTTTTGTAGACTTGTAAACCTCAGTTAGGAGGATGAATGGTTCTCTCGAACCAAGTAATAAATGAATGGAAAGAATCCTTTGAGACGTGAAAGTTGGAAACAACTTAATTAAGGTTGTGTGGAATGCATCCTAAGCTATTCTAAGCCCTTAAATCTCTTTAAAATTAAAAAATTAAACTCTTAAAATTTCCCTTAAATATACTGAATAATAATTTTTTAAAGCTCAAATTTTGCTTAACTTCACTTAAGCCCAATAACCCGGCATATGAACAACCCAGCAAACAAATCCCTAAGCCCACAATCAACTCCACCCTGCGCTCCACAATTTTAACCCCGCAACCACTGTGCACTACTCTACAATCTTCCACCGCCCATTAAACCTCCCATTTCTTATTTATTTAATTAATAATCTTTATTTCCTATTGCAAGTTGTTGTTTGCGCGAGGAATTCCCAATTTCCAATTTCTTAATCCCAATATGCAGTTCTGCATTTGTGCCAGCAATCAGCCGTAAGCCAAAACTTCCTGTGACCTCCTTTTTCGAACTTCAATCTAACGACCCAATCTGCCAATCCAATCACACTACCATTTGGTTGAGCACTTCCCGCAACCTCCTTCGATGGTTATCCGTACAAACTAATCAAAACTCCACGTAACCTCCTACTCCACAAGCTTTGACGGTTGCACAGTTCGACTCCACTCCAGCCCTCATCCAACTTGGGTGGTTTCTCAATCCTTTATAAATACTCTTCTTCTTCCTTTGCAAAAATCTTTTACATTTTTCGGCATTTGGCACATGGTAGGATTTGGTTAAGGCTTTCATGTCGTTGGAGTTCTGTTTCTCCTCTGAGACTAGAGCATGAGGGTGGATTGGATGCAGTTGGAATCGACGAGATTGTAGGCGAAATAGAAAAACTAAATTCCATATTGCTTACTTCTTTACTGAGTTTGTTTGAAGTTTATTTTTTTGGCAGGGAGAATCAATCCATGTTGCTAAGGAGAAGAAAGATGCTTAGCAGTTTAGAAACCTACTGCAAAAGGGTCGTATTTACACCATCTCCAATTTCAGCTGTGTTACGGCTGCGAATTACAGGCCCGTGGGAAGATTAGAGCAAATCATATTCAATGGAGGTAGCCAAGTTGTTGAGGAAGTAGAAGAAAACGTCGTTGCTTTAAAGTACCGTGTTTTTGGGTTTTAGTCTTATACTTAAGCTACAAATCGGTTGAACAAGGATTTTAACTGTTAAGAAGCCCCTTAAATTCATAATTAAATAATTGGTTTAATTAGATAACATTACAAACAATTCTTTTCTGCTTTGAGATTTAATAGGAGTTGTGTGTAAAGTTGAAAATCCTGAAAGAGGAAACATGAGGGCTAGTGATGGAAAAAGATAAAGTTCTGCATCAAGAACTTGGGGTATGAAATCCTAACACCAGTTACATAAACATTTTTTTTTTGTTTAATTGAAATTCCTACTATGTCTTTTGAAATTTCAATTTCCAATTACCCTTAAGACAATTGCAGCCATGAGTTCAGGAATTTTAACGTGTTGGAACAAGAGAAAACTATTGTCATAATCTTAACTTCACTGAGTATTTGGCCGTTCAATATGGTTAGTATATTTAATTTATGGAATGCAATTTCCCCACATCCTGCTATATGTTTGCTAAAATTAGAGTCAAAGTTATTTGTCTCATAAAATTATAGTATGAGATTAACTAGAATTATGTTGTCTATCTCCTATTTTTGGTTTAATATATACTAATAGTGATTGCTTGCATTGATCTGAGTTAATTTTATTTTTGATTAGACATAATTAATTGACCCATGACCTTAGAATTGTTTTTAACTCTTTGATCAAATCATTTCTACTTAATTTTACTACCGCCTTTGGTAGCCTTTTCTGTTATTATGTCTGCTAGGCTTTTATTTATTTATTTATTTATATTTAAGTTTTGGTGTCTTGGCTTTCAATGGAAAATGATTGGTACTCCTTACAAAGTCACACATTGACAGTTTTCATTAGTTGTGCTGTTAAAATTGACGAATTTCGTTATTTATGTTGTTAAAACTGACGGATTCCATTACTTATACCGTTAAATTTGATGGTTTCCGTCAATGTGTAATGGAGTGTATAATTGTACAGGGTGTATGTATCATTGTCCTATCAATTTAGGCTTTTATGTGAAATGTTCATTCCTTTTGCAAATGCCTGATTGCCATCAAGGTGGATTTGCTCTCTATAAGCTGATGGATGAAGCCTTGAAGAATACTTGGTGAAAGTTTACTTCCAACCAAAATTTTCATCCCTTCAGTTCTCAACTTCTCAACCATAGTCTAATGACTTTGAGTCTGTTTAGCATGCTATCTTGGTATAAAGAAACATAAATTAGGTGATATATGCCTTCTTAGCCTTAGATGCACGAATTGGGAACATATCTCCTATGCTTTTTTTTATCTCTAATTTTACCCCTCCCCTTGGTTTATATTTTTTTTTTTTCAAAGAAAGAGGTGAACTATTTATTTTTGTGCTAGGGGTAAATTTTTAAATAAATTCTTTTTGGTGCCTTCTAAAGTATATATATATATATATATATATATTTTATCTTATATATGTTTGATTAATTTCATCAAAAGAAACTAATTAATTTATCTTAATGAATTTTTTTGTGTAGGTAGTTTGGACAATGATGCGTACACCCTCGTTCATTACACAATTTGTTTCCTCAAAAATCCTTAGCCGATCTTTACCACGTGAGTTTGGTTGTTAGACGTGTCACTTACTTTGTCTAAAAACAAGAAGACATGATTTTCCAGATGACCCTTCTCCCTTCCAACCGTCAACCTCCAAAAAGGATGGTTGGAAAGAACGTCTGTGAAATAAATTGCGCCCCAGACGATGTTGCAAAACAGAGGATGGAGTTTTGCAAAATGGGTTACTAATTGCCTTGGAAACCTCCAAGGACTTTACAACCACAAAAGCGTAATAAAAGCTATAAATCCTAAATTAACACAAAATCCTAAGGCAACTAATCTAACATGAGATCAATAAAAGGAAACAACATGCCATAAAAATAAAATTTGCAGACAACAGAAAATGTAAAATCACAGACAATGATTTCTACTATGCAATCCATAATAATTAAACTTAATTACTTGCATATTTAAAATAAAAATAGCTAAACTACTTGATAACTAAAATTGAAGGAGAATCTACAAAATAATTAAAGTCTGGAAACTAATAAAATTAAATCTGGAAACTGAAATTAAATAAACTGCATGTCTGGCTATTATGTAGAAACAAAAGAACAAAGGCAGAAAGCATTCAACTTATTTACAGGAACAAATAACATAACTGAATCCACAAAAGAAAGAGGAACTAACCAAATCAACATGGCAGACCTGTTTTGTGGGTTGAATTGCTTCCAAATGCTTAAAAACCAACCTAAATTGAAGTCTTTGATGAAAGATATGAACAAGAATGGAAAAAGCTAACCTAAGGCTATGAACAAGAATAGATCTTGCAAACTAATCTGGAAACTATTGCTAAAATCTGGAAAAAGCAGTCTGAAAGCTGAAAAACATGCTCTGGGTAGTGTGTGTGTGTAGGACATGCCATCTGTAACTGATCTCTTCCTCCTGTTTTTCTTTTCTTCGGTGCTGGGAAAACCTCCTCCATGTTTCTCAGCCCTTTCTCACCATGATCGAGTAGTGGGGGTTCCATGTCTGGCAGTTATCCGATAATTTTATTTAATCTTATCTCCAACAAAATCTTAAAGATAACTACCTAAAAACTCTCAACTTCCTACTTTAAATCAAACTCAAAGTACCAGAACCCAGCTTATCTTCTAACACTTGAAACCCAAATTCCTTATAACTCTATCTAGGCCATTGAATTCCAAGTGAGCCCAACCCAAGTCAACCTAATCTCATTAAAGATTGGGGTCACTCCTAACACATCGCTTTATCTCATTAATTTATTTTTAAGGTGTAAACACAATCTGTTACACACACTCACTCTCCATTACTTTCTGTTAACTCCAAACGCACCGAGCCCAACCCTTTCTTTCTCTCTCTCCTTTCCTTTCTCCTTCTTGCTATTCACCGTCCTCATCAGATGCATCTTCCTTCTCACCTCCATCCTCATCCTAATCACCTATAGCCTCATCTTCCTCTTCTTCATCATTGTCATTTTCATTAGCACAGAGCATGAAGCTAAGCAAGTGGGAACCTACAAAGGAACCTAGATCTGGTGTTGGGGAAGGGGAGAGAAAATGAAAGGATTTAGAGGTTGAAGATAAGGATTTAGGAACCCCGTAGCCTGGTTTCCTTCAAACCTAGTAGTCGTTGTTGGGTTCCCTTGATTGATCCAATAGCAACCCAGCAAAAGAAAGAAATTGGGAGGGAAAATGTGCAGATTTGGTGTTGATGGAGGGATAAAGAGAGAAAGAAAATGAAAGGTTGAAATTGCAGGTTTCATTAGGGGCAATTACAGGTTTTGTCTGCACTAACCATAGCCTCTATCTCAGAGTGTCTTGCTTCATTGTCTAACCAGCTAGGTTGGATGCATTTGGGAGTTAATGGAAAGTAATGGAGAGTGTGTGTAATAGAGTGTATAACGGACAAGGGTGCATGTAGTATTTCCCCAGGTAGTTTACATGTTTTTCATAAAGCTAAGAGATGATATCATAAGATAATTAACAGGTATTAAATTTCAAATCTTTAAGTTAAGATTTTAATTTCTTGAATACTTTACATAATTTAGTTGCCAAAATGATCCGTTTTCTTTCTTCTTTTTTTTTTTTAATAACAATTTAGCTCTTCTCTATTTTCCCTCCTTGCAATATAATAAACCAAGCAAAACTGGGAAAATGATAAGCCATTTCTAATTTATTTAACTGAGTTGTTGTGTGCAAGAAAGTTTGCTAAAGTGATCAGATATTTCTTTTAAATATGGAAAGGGGAACTTGATAAGCTATGTTCTTTGTATTATATTACTCCTTTACAACTTAATTTTACCACGGTGCTCTAAAGTTACCTTGGAGAAAAAACAAAGAAGTTACTTTATTCAATAACTCACAAATAAGTAAAAAAAAATCCTTGGATGTATGATAATACGGAATTAATTAAAGGGCCTCGATTGGTGGAAGGAAGGGGCAGCGATCTTGTGAAGATAATATAAATTTAGATGCGTTCACACCATTTGGGCTGAGCATGGAAGAATAAAATATTAGAGAGAGAGGTCCAGTTAATTCATTTTTTTTGGTGCATTAGCTCCAACTCCATCCATCTATATTTCTTTAATTACTCCAACTATTAATACGAGGAATTTCAAAACAACTACTAGTCAGTAGCGTCACAATTGTTTCGTCACTACACGTGAGATTCCTACAAGAATAGTTACATGCACATTTTTCTTTATCACCTGCATCGCGCTTTATGGTCAGTTCCAAAATGTGGCTGTAACACTGTAACTAATGTACATGGGGGAAAAAATGAAAAAAAAAAAA